TTTATAATTATGTAATATCCTTCTTTGCTTCTTTTGATCTTTGTTGCTTTAAAACAACTCCTGCTTTTTATTTATTTATTTGTTTTTGCTCTCCATTTGGTTGGTAAATCTTTCTCCATCCCTTTGTTTTGAGTCTTTGTGTATCCTTGCATGTGTGTTGGGTCTGGATGCAGCATACCGATGGGTTTTGGCTTTTTTTGCCTGTCTGTGTCTTTGGATTGAGGGATTTAGTCGATTTAAATTTAGAATTAATAATAATATATGTGAGTTTGATACTGTCATTTAATGTTAGCTGGCTGTTTTGCCTATCAGTTGATGTAAATTCATGATTATGTTGATGCTCTTTACTTTTTGGTATTTTTTAGAAAGGCTGATACTGGTTGTTCCTTTTTATGTGTAGTGGTTCTTTCAGAAGCTCTTGTAAAGCAGGCCTGGTGGTGATGAAATTTCTGAGTGCTTGCTTGTTCACAAAAGATTTTATTTTTCCTTCGCTTATGAAGCTTAGTTTGGCTGGATGTAAAATTCTGGGTTGAAAGTTCTTTTCTTTAAGGATGTTGAATATTGGTCCCCACTCTCTTCTGGCTTGTAGGGTTTCTGCTGAGAGATCTGCTGTGAGTCTGATAGGATTCCCTTTATGGGTAACCTGACCTTTCTCTCTGGCTGCCCTCAGTATTTTCTCCTTCATTTCAACCCTGGTGAATCTGGTGATTATGTGCCTTGAGTTTGCTCTTCTTGAGGAATATCTTTGTGGTGTTCTCTGTATTACCTGGAGTTGAATATTGTCCTGCCTTGCTAGGTTGGGAAAGTTTTCCTGAGTAATATCCTGAAGCATATTTTCCAGCTTGGATTGATTCTCTTCGTCACATTCAGGTACACCTATCAAGCGTAGATTAGGTCTTTTCACATAGTCCCATATTTCTTGGAGACTTTGCTCGTTCCTTTTTATCCTTTTTTCTCTAATCTTGTCTTCTCGTTTTATTTCATTAAGTTGGTCTTCGACCTCTGATATCTTTTCTCCTGCTTGATCGATTCAGCTGTTAAAACTTGTGCATAGTTCGCGAAGTTCTTGTGTTGTGTTTTTCAGCTCCATTAATTCACTTATATTCCTCTCTAAATTTTGAATTCTTCTTAACATTTCATCAAACCTTTTTTCAAACTTTTTAGTTTCTTTGCATTGGGTTAGAACAAGTTCTTTTAATTCACTGAAGTTTCTTATCATCCACTTTTTAAAGCCTGCTTCTGTTAATGGAACACACTCGTTCTCCATCAGGCCTTGTTCCGTTGCGGAACTGTGATCCCCTGCAGAGGGATAGGTGTTCTGATTTTGGGTATTCTCAGCCTTTTTAGGCTGTTTTCTTCCCTTCTTTATAGCTTTATCCATATGTGGTTTTTATAATAACCGTCTTTATAATTGGGTTTCTGAGTGGACGTCCAACTTGTTGATTCCTGGTGCTAAAATCTGAGCAACCCACTGCGCCGGCCAAAACAGCAGCGTTATGATTGATGGTGCTTTTCTGACTCTGCACCAAGAACCGCCACACCAAGGCAGCGGCAAAACCGCCTCGCCGGCCACAAGAGTCATGCTGGTGACCCGTGGGGCTCCTCCCCTGGGAATCTCCTGGTGCATGAGCAACAAAAAGTCGTCTGAAAGTGTGGCGTCCTCTCGTTCTCTGTGCTTTCACTGGGAGCTACAATCCCGAGCTGCTAGTAGTGATCAGCCATCTTGGATCTCTCTCCCAGATTGAGGTTTATTCACAGGGATATGGTCTTCCAGGTGCAAGTCTTGGTTTTGTGGTAAAAGAGCCTTTAAAAATCCCTGTAAAAAGCGAGTTGGCTGGGTGCAGTGGCTCACACCTGTAATCTCAGCACTTTGGGAGGCTGAGGTGGGTGGATCACCTGAGGTCGGAAGTTCAAAACCAGCCTGACCAACATGGAGAAAACCCATCTCTAAAAAAAAAAAAAAAAAAGAGCAGAGTAGTGAGTTCAGAGAGAGTAATCATTGCAGATGGACCTAAGCCAATTGCTCATTCACAATGACTGTATTTCATCAACTAATTTCAACATGCACTTTTTTTTGTGACATCTTAACGGCTCTGAAATCAGGATTCATTTCCCATCATGGTGCTTCCTGATAAAATTAGCAGCATTTGTGTGTGTGTGTGTGTGTGTGTGTGTGTGTGTGTGTGTGTCTGTGTGTGTGTCTGTGTGTTAGTGGTACACAAAAATAGCAGCATGACTTCCAACTGATAGATAATGTCTGAAGTTGATTGAAATACAGTCCTAGGCTCATTCAGTATCTGCAGGTACCTGAGAACTAGAAGGACCCCCACGATCTCAGCACCAGGTGACACAGCGCAATGAAAGATTCAGGCTGAGTTCCACTATGAACATCTGTTTTTTAAATTTTTATTTATTTTTATTTTTTTGAGATGGAGTCTCGCTCTGTCGCCAGGTTGGAGTGCAGTGGCACAATCTCGGCTCACTGCAACCTCCACCTCCTGGGTTCGAGTGATTCTCCAGCCTCAGCCTCCCAAGTAGCTGGGATTACAGGCACCCACAAGTAGGCAGAGAAACAATATAATGACCTAGCACACCTAAGCAAGCTACTCTTCCTCCTGAGTAGCTGGGCTCACAGGCACATGCCACCATGCCTGGCTTATTTTTGTATATTTGGTAGAGACGGGGTTTCACCATGTTGCCCATGTTGCCCAGACTGGTCTTGAACTCTTTGACTGGAGCAATCCCCCGGCCTCGGGCTCCCAAAGCGCTGAGATTACAGGTGTGAGCCGCCATGCCTGGCTACAGCAAGCTGTTCTTTTAGGAACTCTTAGGCATACCTTGCTTGAAAGTTCACATGTGGCTGATGTGAAAAGCTGTCTTATGGCATGCTTCAGCTGAACTTCTAGTTGTATTCAAACCACTGACTCTTCCCTGAAGGGCTCATCCGGGCTCATTCAGAGGAGCAGCCTCTTTGAGGTGTACCGTAGCTGTCACGCAAGAGAGAGGGAACCTTCTCACTAATTCACATATCTCTAATTCCACTAATTCCTCCAAAGAAACAGCATTCACTCTGCTAATTAGCAAACCCTCCGATGTTGATTAAAAATAACCCCAGCTGAACCAAAGCTGTACTCTCCAGAATGTGTGTGTGAGTTTATGATTTGTCTTTCAAATGCTAACTAATCACCCCTCCTCTGCCAGGGGTCTGTATTAAAACTAACATTTCCGTATCATGCTATCTATGTGTATTTGAAAGCAAATTTCAGACAGCATAATAACAACAGTGAGTACTTATGACTCAGGACACACTTTTCAGCAATTAGCATTAAACACCGCTTTAAAACGTATAGACTTCAAACAACTTTGTTGGTGGTGAGAGTATTTTTCAAGCAAACTGGGGCAACTCAAGAGTGGCTGTAGTTGTGAAGGTGCTTTCATTGATTTTGAATACACTTATTTCTATGAACCATGAGTGGAGGCTGGGTGCTGTGGCTCACGCCCGTAATCCCTGCATAAGGTGGAAGCGGGTGGGTCACTTGAGCTCAGGACTCAGAGACCAGCCTGGCCAACATGGCGAAACCTCATTTCTGCCAAAAAGTACAAAAATTAGCTGGACATGGTGGCATGCACCTAGAGCCCTAGCGACTTGGGAGCCTGAGGTGGGAGAATCTCTTGAACCTGAGAGGTGGAGGTTGCAGTGACCTGAGATCATACCACAAGAAAAAAAGAAAGCAAGAAGAAAGCAAGGAAGGAAGGAAGGAAGGGAAGAAAGGAGGGAGAGAGGGAGGGAGGGGAAAGAGTACTCCAGTGAGTACCTTGGATTTATTTGCTGGGCTTGGTTCTTTTTTGTGTCTCAGGGCAACCAAGCACCAGTCAGCTTTCTGAAAGAGTTGCTACTCTTTCTGTGATCTGGGCCAGCTCCTGGTCCTCTTCCGCCCACTGGCTGGATACAGACTTAAGATCCCACTCTCCCTCCAGGGGCAGCCTCTGGTAGAGCAGAGGGTGAGCAGCCCAGCTCTCCCACTGTGGTGCAGCCTTGGGCAAGTTACTCCACCCTTCCCACCTTCATGTGTAACATGAGAAGACTGGGTGACCTCTAAGGCCCTTTCCAGCTCTGCAGTACTTTTTTTTTTGAGACAGAGTCTTGCTGTGTTGCCCAGGCTGAAGTGCAGTGGTATGATCATGGCTCATGGCAGCCTTGACTTCCTGGGCTCAAGTGATCCCACTGTAGTCCGCCCTCGAGTAGCTGGGACTACAACACCACGCCCAGCCAATTTTTAAATTTTTTTTGTAGAAATAAGGTCTCACTATATTGCCCAGGCTGGTCTTGAACTGTAGGGCTCAACTGATCCTCCCACTTCAGTCTCCCAAATTTCTGGGATTACAGGCATGAGCCGCCAAATCTGGCCTTAGCTCTGCAATTTTATGATAACTGTCTTAGTCCATTTGGCATGCTATCACAAAATACCTAAGACTGGGTAATTTATAAACGACAGAAATGTATTGGTAATAGCTCTGGAGGCTGGGAAGTCCAAGGTCATGGTGCCAGCAGATTCCTGGTCTGGTGAGGGCCCATTCCTCATAGATGTCTCCTTCTATGTGTCCTCACACGGAGGAAGGAATGAACAAGCTCCCTCAGACCTCTTTTATATGAGCACTAATCCCACTTATAAGGGCAGAGCCTTTTAAGTGACCTAGTCACTTCCCAAAAGCCCTGCTCCTTAACACCGCATTAGAGATTAGGTTTCGACATATGAATTTTGGGGAGACACAAACATTCAGACCATAGTAATCACCCATATTATTATTTAATTACCTCCGTCCAGCACTCTTGGAGTGGATGACTCAGCAGTCCGATCGTTTTGCTTTTAAGGAAGCTTGATCTTGTGCCATCATGTATATGTAGCAAGCATATGTTCAATAGTTAAATAAGCTGACTGTCCTGCTCCAGCTGGAGTTAGGCTGAAACTGATTGATTTCTTCATGCTGTCCTCTTTCAGGGAAGCAGCACAGCACCAACTAGGCAGAGACGCCCCCAGGCCATGACAGCTCTTTGAGTGAGGTCTGGTAACAGGGAGGTGCTCTCACCCACTGGCCTGTCTAATCCAGCTCCAAGATGCTGAGCCTGAAGCTCCCCAGGCTGTTTAGCATAGACCAGATGCCCCAGGTATGTGCTCCATTTATTAAGATGGTTCATTTCCAGGGTGTGACCAGGGCTATGGAACAGGGGACTGTTGTCTTCACCTAGTCTGATCTGTACAGGCCCATTCTCTTCAAGGATCCCCTCCCACACTTCCTTGGGGGATATTACACCCTCCTACTGCCCCCACCCACCTTGAAATGGAAGTGGTCCCAAAATCATTTAAGTTGTAACCCTTCCTTGAGACATCCGTGTTTTACCCAGAAGCAAAGTCATTACGAAATCCAAGCTGAAGAGATGAAGCCAGCAGCAGTTGGCCGGGTAGGAGGTTTATTTTTTTAGGAGTCTCCTATGGGTGCTTCAAAGCAGGCTGTGGGCAAAGGCACCCAGGGCTTGGCTCTGTGCATCCCTGTTACTTGCAGGAGGCCCAGGCCAGGTCTGCACTGGGGCGATGGGGAGGGTTGTTGAATAGGCCTTAGCACTGCCCTTTAGTGGACGCATGGGCCTGGATGCTCACAGGCAGGTATCCTGAAATACATGAGACTTATTGTCTGCTTTAGTAAGCCACAGGTGAGTCTGGCTGTGTGCTACCGAGAACCGGTGCACTTCCTCCTTCCCTTGCAAAGGAAACAGCATCACGTTGCACCCCTTTGTTGATGTCAAATTTCCTTGCTTTTTGACTAAGAAGAGTGGGTGTTATTTCACAGTGGGAAGTTTCATTGGGAAGACGTGGCAGAGTGGAGGAGAGCCAGCCCCTTTCTACTTACTTGGCTGGTGGCCAAGCACTTATGACTTGCCCCAGAAAAATAATTCCTAAATAAACTCAACATCACCAGTGGAAGGTTGAGGGGGAAACTGCCAAACCCAAAGCCTGTGAAGCCCAGTGATTCCAGGAAGATGGCAAGGGGGAAAACCGTAAGTGAGGCACAGCTGTTTGGTGGAGTGGGCTGAGGAATGTGTAGACTGATACGCAGTCTACACGTGTGGCCAGCTCCAATGACACTGGGCAGAGCACCTGCCTCGGCTCTCACAGGGTCATCACCTTCTCTTCCTGGGGAACTTTGCTAGTTGGTTATTCCCACAGAGCATTAGCAGCTGTGATTAGTGGATATACAGTGTGATTCTTGAATTTATTTACTCATGAAATTTGTATTGACTGCCTACCATGTGCAAGGGATTCAGAGAATAATTACATACTAATCCTGTCCTTGCATGGCTCATGTGTTGGTCAGGAAGACTTTAAAATGTGCACGAGAAATTCTTTCCTAAAGTGGGTTAGGGTCTATCTTAAGACAGGGTGATTCTTTCAGAGAAGGGGCTGGTCACTTCCATCACGGGGGAGTGTATTAGTCCATTCTCACACTGCTATAAAGAACTGCCTGCGGCTAGGTAGTTTATAAAGAAAAGAGGTTTAATTGACTCATGGTTCCTCATGGCTGGGGAGACCTCAGGTTAACTTACAATCATGAGGGAAGAGGCACGTCTTACATAGCAGCAGGCGAGATGGAGAGAGAGAGTGATGTAAAGGAGGAACTGTCAGACACTTAAAGAACCATCAGATCTCGTGAGAATTCAAGTTTGGGGGACACCAACCCCATGATCCAATAACCTCCCATCAGGTCCCTCCCTCGACATGTGGGGATTGCAGGAATTACAGTTCAAGATGAGATTTGGGTGGGGACACAGAGCCAGATTATATCAGGGAGGAAGGGATCAGGGAAGGCTTTCATGAAGTGGGTGATCTGTAAGACAGATTTTGAGGGGTGGACAGGATTGCGGAGATAGGGAGAGCATTCCAGGTGGAAGGAGCAGTGTGAGCAAAGGCCTGGAGATGGAAGATGTTGGGGCAGGTGGTGATGGGCAGGGAATGGGGAGCCTCTTGTGGGTAGGGGTTATGGGAGTCTGCTTAGACATCTTTGTGGACATTTTGGTCAGGGTTGGGCTCAGAGTATGTCTCCAGGAAAGAAGTGAAGGGGCCAGAGTGGTATCAATAGGTCCTTTGGGTAACCTGCTGGGAATCTGAATGCATGGAGATCCTGAATGTCGTGGCTGGGCAACCCTAACAGAGGCTAAGGGAGAAAGATGAACAGGTCCTCTCTGTCCAGTTTTTTGTACATTATGGGATGATAATATCTTTTCATGAAATGGCACTAGCTAGAGGCAGAAAGCCAACACCACACCTTGCAATCACTATTTGCTTCAAAAGCTTCCTTGGGCTCCCGCATCCACTATTGGGTTTTTGGGCATCATGCCCAGGGTTTATGAAGCCATAGAGAAAATACAGTGCCATAGTCCCAGATGCCTTAGTTTAGGGATGTGGACAGGAGGATTTCCTGAGGCAGTGGTCTGCACAGAGAGGGAATGCAATGCTGTTTCCAGACTTGCCCTGCAGCTCTGCCACACAGTCATAACCTTAGCCTCAGTGTTCTTATCTGTAAAACAGAGGTGACTCTTGCTAAGTCAGTCTCACAGGGCAATTGTGAAGATCCAAGAAAAATAAAATAGATCAGTGGGATTATTATGAATGAAGGAAGCATAGCCACATCAGTGGCTGGCAGTGGTGTTTGGTAGCGGGCTCAGCCACTGGGAACAAGAGCCATCTCAATGGCTAAATAGTTTCTCTGGCCCAGTGTTGTTCAGAGAGGGTGCTTGGCTCACCAACACCAGAATCACCTGATAGCTTATTAAAATATGGTAGGAGCCGGGTAATTGTAGCACTTTGGGATGCTGAGGCGGGTAATTGTAAGGCAATCACCACTCTGTCTCAAAAAATATATATATGATAGGAGCTGTGATAGCAGGCATCTTTGTATTGTTCTTGGTTTTAATGAAAAGAAATGCTTTCAGCTGTGTGTGTGCGTGTGTGTGTGTGTGTGAATGTGCATAAATAATCTTTTAATTCTTTATCAGATTAAGGGTGTCATGTTATATTCCTGGTTTGCTAGGATTTTTTCATTTATTTATTTATTTTTGAGACAGGGTCTTTCTCGCTCACCCAGGCTGGAGTGCACTGGTGCAATCTCGGCTCACTGCAAACTCTTGCTTCCTGAGTTCAAGCGATTCTCATGCCTCAGCCTCCCTAGTAGCTGGGTCTACCAGCAAGTGCCACCATGCCCGGCTAATTTTTGTATTTTTAGTAGAGACAGGATTGTCTTCATGTCACCATGTTGGCCAGTCTGCTCTCAAACTCCTGACCTCAGGTGGTCCACTGGCCTTGGTCTCCCAAAGTGCTGGGATGACAGGCGCGAACCACCGTGCCCGGCCACCCTTATGAATTTTACAAAACTCTTGTTTCCTATCAATATCTTTTGAGATGATCATATATGATTCATTTAAGTTGTTACTGTGGCGATTACATTGATTTACCAATGTTAAACCACTCTTTAGTTCTTGGTTTAAATACTACTTGATTATGATGCAATATCTCTTTAATCTGTTGCCAGAATCAAATCAGTTGGCTAATGTTTGCTTTAGGATCCTTAAATCTATTTAATGTGTTGGCCTATAATGTTTCCTTCTTATGCTGTCCTTGCCTAGACCTGGGATGCAGTTTATGCCAATCACAAGTGAGTTGGAGATTGCTGCCTGTTTATTCTACAGGGAGAAATATATGATATTAGAATTATACATTCCTGAGTGGTTGGTAGAATTTATCTGTGAAATTACCATATTGCCCAACTCTAAGGAGGCACCATTTCCCTTTTAGTCTACGTGAATGGCGACCTCTGGAGTTGTACAGGGAACAACTTGGCCCTACGGTTGAATTTTCTTGATGGAAAGATTTTTTTATAACAACTTTGTTGAGATAGAATTCATATGTTATAAAATCCACTCTGTAAAAGTATACAATTCAATGGGTTTTAATATGTTGAACACACAGAGTGTATGTTGCACAAAATCATCACCATGATTTTTATCACCCTAGAAAGAACTGTACCCATTAACAGCTATTTTCTATTCCCCTCAGTTCCTGGCAACCACCTAACCTACTTTCTGTCTGTATGGATTTGCCTGTTGTGGAAATCTCACACAAATGGAATTGTGCAATATGTGGCCTTTTCTTACTATCTTCTTTCACTTAGCGTGATGTTTTCAAGGTGCATCTATGCTGTAGCATCTATCATTACTTTGTTTTAATGGCCAAATAGTAGTCTATTGAATGGATATACCATTGTTTGTTTATCCATTCATTAGTTGATGAACGGGTGAGTTGTTTCTATTTTTTTGGCTCTTGTAAATACGCTGCTGTCAACATTCGTGTACAAGTCATTTCGGTGGACAAGTTTATCAGTCTTTTTGGTGTACAATGCAGGAGTGGAGTGACTGGATCACATGGTAACAGCTCTATGCTTCCGAGTATGTGGAGTTTTGATACTATTGATTTAACTTAATTGATCTTGGTCAGAGAATAAGCCCTCTATATTATTCCAATCCTTGACGTTTGTTCAGACTAGCTTGATGGCCTACCACATGAATAATTTACACAAATCTTCTAAGTGTGCCTATAAATAATGTATAGTCTCCAGTTGTTGGGGGAAGTATTTCATGTTTGTCCGTAAGATCAAATATCTTTATACTTTTACTGATTTTGTTCTACTTGATCTATCCATAACTGAGATGTGTTAAAATCTTCTACTATGGTGGCAAATTTGTAAATTACTTCTTGAAAGTTAATTTTTTGCTTTATGTATTTTGAGCCTGTATTTTTAGGTATATCCAAGCTTATAATTGTCCCACCTTCTATCTTTCTGGTGATGTAAAAAGATATGATTTTGCAGTGATTGTATCTAGTAATGCTTTTTGCCTTGGGATGCATCTGATATTAATATAACTACTCTGCTTTTGTTATTATTTGTTTGGCTTATCTCCTTCGTTTGACTTTCAATTCTTCCCCATGTTTATATTTAAACTGTGTCTTGTGTAAACAGCACATGGCAAGATTTTATTTAGTTTGACAATATTTTTTGTTTACCTGACAGCTTAGTCTACTTCTATTTATAATGATTATTGATATCCACATTTATTTT